TGAAACCTATTTTCGAAAACCCTAATCCCAATACTCCAAGTTCCAAAAATCCCCAATTCCCAAACCCTAATTCATCTACTTAAGGTTCTCTAAGGCTCTCAGAAAATAGAACAACCTTTTTCAAACAACAGTTGAGAGCTGTGATTGCCAGAGAACTGTTTGTTGGAGGAAAAAGGGGCTTTTGGAACCTGGTGTGGGCTAGAAGCGATAAGAATCACTAAGTGGAGTTCTTAGTGGATTGTATGTTGTGCCGTCTCTAGGGAAAGTTGTTCTTCATCTCTTGTGGTTTTCAAGAGAGGTGTTTTCTTTACTTTATCTTTTCCATTGTTATCTGTTTGTAACAACTTTGATTATAGTGACAACGTTAATCCTCTGTTTGAGTGATTAACAATTGGACGTAGGGTCTTTTGATCTGAACCAGTATAAATCTCCTGTGTAAGACTCTATCTCTATCTTATTCACGTTTACACAACATTTTAATCGGTAAAATTTGAGGAAAATTTTTAAAACCTAATTTTTTGTTAAGAAACCAATTCACCCCCCCCCCCCCGCTCCCTCTTGGTTTTTTTGTCTGCCATCGCGAACATTCCACTGTGCGATTCTAACAAGTAATGTGTCCAACCCAAGATGATAGGGGAATTAAAGGTAAAGTCGATGTCATAGTGTGTTGAGAATTCAAGTGTGAGTTTGAAGTCTCACATTGGGTAGAAATGGGAAAGTTAAGTAACTTATAAGTGAGAAAGACCCATAACCTACTGCCTTAAGGTTTTTGGTTGAAAGTGGTGTTATATTCTCTTATATGGTTGGCTTATGTCCCATTTATGAGAATCTCTCTATTGTTAGCCCCCTCAGAAAGACCTAACAGTGACATCTAATCTGATGGTTGATATCTAATTTATTTATGATATTATTCCGCTGCTATAGTCATTAGAATAGTGTTGGAGAAAATTTGTAGTATGCTCTATGGTTGCAGTTAACTTGATCTTCCATATCACAAAAGAGTTTATCATAGTTACTGGATATAAAGTGTGGTAGTGTGACAGTGCATGTCTAGGAAAATTTTTGACAAGGAAAGACTTGGTATTTAAGTGTGTCCATTAGTGACCGACCTCTCTTTCTTGGGAACTTACTTGGTGTACTAGTTACAGTTTACGATTTACACTGTTATTCAAGTAGGCAATTCTATTCATAGTGAAAGGTGTATAAGTCGGTTAAAACCATGACAACAAAATATGAGATAGAGAATTTTAATGAGAATAGTTTCTCATTGTGGAAACTAAAGATGAAGACAATTTTGAGAAAAGACAATTGTGTAAAAGCAATTGAAAAGAGACCGTGGGCATCACAAATTGAAGGTGGGAAGAAATTATCAATAACGCTATAGAAAATTAGTGGAGAAGGGTACAAAGAAGGAGATTTGGGAGTCCCTCGTGAAATTGTATCAAGAGAAAACACACATTGGACTTGTTTATTATGATGTGTTGGAATCACTAGTATTATCCCTAGGAGGGGCCAAATATTTTGTGTCAGTGATGATAATGATTACTCTAGGAGATTATGAGTGTACCGCATCAAGAGGAAGTCTGTGTTTTCAAAATTCAAGAAAGGCAAATTCTTGGACTACACTAACAATGTGAAGGGATATTTCCTGTGGATCCCACTATCCACAACGTTATTGTTAGCGGTGATACAAATATTATTTTTCTTTAAGGTGAACTTAGAGAAAGGATTGGTGTTCTCCAACCAGAAGACTTAAAGAAAAAGGAAACTTGGTTTACAGGTTGACAAAATCTCTGTACGGTTTAAACCAGGTGTCTAG